ATGTTTCTACTTCTTTTTTTACTCATGGCCTTTGGGTTCTATAAAAAATTCTGCATAGTAAGAAACAAAACTGTGGCAATGTTAATAATTGTTACTATTTTACTTTCTTTCAAGCCTGTACTTGATGTACATCAGCATAAATATATACAGGGTACAGCAGCATAACTTCTTTTTTTTCAAAACTTAATAAAACCCATTGTATGAATCAGATTTTTTTTATAATGTAGGCGCATACCTAAAGTTTTGTTTTACGTAGTTTTGAAGAACAAATTAGGTAGGTGACGTCCCCCATTCTCCATACACCGAGTAAACAGATTTCTGGTGTTTGTCATGACTCTTGCCAGCATAGAAGACCAACATCCAGGCAATTCCTTCCTGGATGTTGGTCTTCAAATCTTGTAGGGTCCTTGGACGGTTTGCATAAACACAGGATTTCAAAAAGCCCCATAGAAAAAAATCACAAGGGGCCAAATCTGGAGAGCGGGCTGGCCACTCCAAATCCCCCCTAATTGAGTGAGGTGCTCTGGGAAGTGTTCCCTCAAAACAGCCATCGATTCTCTTGAAGTGTGTGCAGTTGCACAGTCTTGTTGGAACCAAATGTCCCCTAAGTCCAACCTATCTAGCCGTGGGAAAAAAAATCCTGTAACATATTTACATACCGGTCCAAATTCACTGTCACTGTGACTTCATTTTCCTCAAAGAACCAGGGACCAATAATACCAGCTGAGGAAATTACACACCACACTGTGATTTTAGGTGAATGCAAAGACCTTTGATGCAATTCTCAAGGATTGTTGTCAGCCCAGTAGCACATGTTTTGTTTGTTGATAGATCCACACAAATGAAAATGGGCTTCATCACTAAAAAAAAAAAATAGCATCCTCAGGAACGACTTCGAGAAGAACCTCATATGCGTTCCTCCGAGAATTGAAGTCACGTCCAGAAAGTTCCTGCACAATCGCCATCTTGAAAGGATGGGAATGAAGATTATCATAAAGAATTCTCCTCACAGAAAAATCGGAAAGTCCAAGGGCAGACGCATGTTTGCGCACAGAACACCGTGGTGATTGCAACATTGAAGCTCTTACTGCCAATGACCATGAAGTTCGGATTTTAGATCCAGTCTCAAGATGGAGATTGTGGACTGAATTAATTCATCATTGCTAAGTGCTCCATGTGTGGTGTAGTGGTTTTGAATGTTGGACTATGACTTTAGTGACCATGGTTTGGCGCCCCATTCAGCTATGGAAACCCACTGGGCAAGTCACACTCTCTCAGCCTCAGAGGAAGGCAAAGGCAATCCTTTCAGGAACAAATATTGTCAAGAAACCCCTCTGATGGGGTTGCCATAAGTCAAAAAAGTATTCAAGGTACACTAGAGCATGGTGCAGATTACACTGAGGGTTTTTGATCAAAGAAGAAATGTCTGACCTGTATTGTCGAAGGCTTTCATGGCCGAAATCACTGGGTTGTTGTAGGTTTTTTCGGGCTATATGGCCATGTTCTAGAGGCATTCTCTCCTGACGTTTTGCCTGCATCTATGGCAAGCATCCTCGGAGGTATGCTTGCCATAGAGGTATGCTTGCCATAGATGCAGGCGAAACGTCAGGAGAGAATGCCTCTAGAACATGGCCATATAGCCCAAAAAAACATACAACAACTGTCTGACTTCTGTTTCTTTAAAACATAAAATTCCAGCTGTTATCTCAATGCATCTCCATCCATGGACAACACATGTCAGATAGTAGTAAATTAAAAATAATTTAAAAAATCATAGTGTAGTTGGCATGGAGGATAAATATTAATCATTTAGGAATAAGGAATGTGTGAAGAAACATTTAGCAATTTTCATATTTGATTATAATATATTTTACCTTGGGAGATAATTACAGGTCATTTAACACATTTTCAAGATATTTTGCCACATTCTGCTTTTTCCAATGGTGCAAGATTTGCAGTGCTGTATGACATTGCATTTTCTCCTTAATTCCTGAACGGAAAATTTGCTGTATCCTTAGTGCACTGTGGGTTTTTTTTTTATAAAGAAAGTGTAATCAGCACAATGCTGACAGATCGAACTACAGATAAGGAACATTGCTTTTTCAGCAAAAAGATACATTTTGTCAGGTGAAGTTCAGCTGAGATTGTAGCATTTCAGTACCATTTATAGAGCTCTTCTGTAGCAGATGGCCTGCTGTAATCTGTAATTATAATCACCAGCGTAATATCTCTCTCCTTTTTCTGCATCCAAAAAAAAAAAAAGGGGGGGGGGAGGGGAGCAGGCTAGAATTACAAGGAATGGTTTATATGCTCGAAGTAAAATGATGCCAGTCCTTATGGAAAATACAAACTTCAGATATGATTGTACATCTTGAAAAATGCTAGAAGTGAATTGGCCTGGTGCCATTTTGAAATTATGCACATTTAATGAAAAAATAGATGTTATGTCATGTTAAATTTAAAATAAAATAAAATATTTGTTTAAAAAATGATTTGAGCCATAGCCTTGAGTTAAATTTGTTCACCACTAAATATCAACCGCTTTAATATATTTAAAACATGTACATAGAAAATAGTTGAAACAAATCAAACTTTTTTAAAAAACTGAGTATGCTTAGAAAGATACTGGAGGCAGATCCAAAAAGAACAAAATAATATTTTGCAGATGTATCCAATTTTAAGGCACTTTTTCATATAATAATGTATTTGTTGAAATGAGTATATTCTGAAGAAGGGAGCTCTGATACTCTTTGTCAGTTGATAGCAATCAATATTTTAGACTTAGGGCTTCATGGCCATCTGGCAGTTGAACCCTGTCTCTGGCCTTTTTTCCCAGTTTGATAAGTGCCCCTCCTCCATATCAATGCACGAAGTACTGCTCAAAGGCATCTTGTTAATCTATGCATTGCTAATCAGCAGTGCCTTGTTCAAATGTTTATATGTAAAGGAATAAATGGTTAAAAAATTCTGGCAAATTGCCATGTTTAGAAATCATTTAAAGTTTCAACAAAAAGGAGGAAACAATGAAAATGAACAAAATTTGGCTAGCAGTGCTAAAAAAAACCCCTCTAAAATCAGAGAACAACACTAAAAAAACAGGGGAATTCCAGACAAGAAACAATCCGGGCCAGGTAACACCTCTCAACAAAGGATTCCCCCAGGCAGGAAGCAGCCAGGCTTTGAAGCTGCAAGGCTATTCAGTGCTCATCAAGGTGTCCAATTGCAACATTCACACCTGCATCAAACAGACAAGAGTTCTTTCTCCCACTCTGAACATTTCGCTGATATATAAACTTCACTTACCTAGTTTCCAACAGACCTCACAACCTCTGAGGATGCCTTCCATAGATGTGGGTGAAATGTCAGGAGAGAATGCTTCTGGAACATGGCCATACAGCCTGGAAAACTCACAGCAACCCATTAAAAAATCTCACAATCTTTTTACTTATGGAGGCGGAAGTCAAAGCCATAGTCACAGAGCTAGTCTAGAATATCCCTTTGCATACTGGCCATTTATTTATTTATTTCCAGTATTTCTACCCCATCCTTCTCAACCCCTGAAGGGAGGGACTCAGGACAGCTTACATCTGGCACAATTTGATGCCACTAAATATCACAAAGCAATATAACAACAATTAAAACAATAAATAGAACATTAATTAAAACAATAAAAACAGTATTAACCGCCGTATCACCATTCCAGTCAAATTCCATATCCAAAGCACTATTTATGCTTGCTGTCCAAAAGCCTGGTCCCAGAACCACGACTTAAATTTCTTCATAAATGACAGGAGGGATGAAGCCGATTTTATCTCGTTGGGAAGCGTCTTCCACAGGCGGGGGGCTACAGCCGAGAAGGCCCTGTCTCTCATCCCCGCCAGACGTATTTGCAATGCTGGCGGGAGTAAGAGAAAGGTCTCTCCGGATGATCTTAAACTGCAAGGCAGGACGTAGTGGGAAATATGTTCGGACAAGTTAGCTGGACCAGAACCGTATAGAGCTTTATAGGTCAAAACCAGCACTTTGAATTGAGTTCAACAAGACGACCAACTTCAGGATTGTATTAGAACATTCAACTCTGTGAAATGGGAGTCGCTCTCATTAAAGACACTATTATAACTTTTATTTTATAACTTTTATTATAACGTTTATTTTAAAATTTTAACTATTACATCTGGCCCGGCCATAGGTTTTTAAATTTCTGCGTGTTATTGTCTATATGTGAGTTATATCAATTGTATTGTTTTATTTGCTTATTGCTTGCTGTTTTTATTGATGTGTTGTAAGCCGCTCCGAATCTCCTTGGGGAGATGGTGGCGGGGTATAAATAAAATTTTATTATTATTATTATTATTATTATTATTATTATTATTATTATTTATAATAACTGTATTCTCAATTCATTTCTAACATTCATTTCTAACATTACCAGTGATTTCTGGGGTTACTCTGTTGTTTGTATGCATTAAAGCTCTGTATAGTAATATGACAAGTCTACTGCTACACTTTGCATGCTATATTATGGCTCTTTAGATATTTTTTAGATGAAAATGTATATAATCTCTTTCCATTGGTTATGCTAGTTAGTCCAACAATATCTGAATAATTTTTGTTACCTTTTTCTACACCTGCATGGCTAATGAGTCCTTAATTATATGTCAATGACAAAAAAGGATATCTATGCCTGTGTAATTTTCATAATTGAAACCAGTGCAATGTAAGTTGATCTAAAACTACAAGTTGTGTGGCACAGATATGACATCATTTGCTGTGCAACCCTTTATTTTCTTTTTACTGGAAATGATCTGTTTCCATCTCTTGAATGGGGCATTAATGGAGTTATAGCTCAACACATTTTAGTACTGTCTTTTAATTAACACAAATTAATAACACGTGCATTTGGGGAAACTGTCAATGACAAATTTTGTTTTTGCAGCTGTCTTTAGTTAACTATTATTTACTCAAAGTGGATACTAAAATATCCCTCCCCCCCTTTTTAGGTAAAATGTTTAATCTTCCTCGGTGATGGTGTGTATTTCGAAATTCATCTTGGCTAATCATCCTGAAAGTTGCAAATCCAGATAGGTGCTTTTTTGGCTGAAACTGGTAAGTTTCTGTGTGAAATATTTTGTGCATTATATATGTATCTAGATGTGCTGGATATCTATATGGTGATCCTACATGAATGAAACCTATTATTTAATGAACTAGGAATAGCATGTAGTCATGTTTTGTATTGCTGACCTTGTGGCAGATTATACCTCCATTTAGATTTATTGATTACTTTATGCTTTGCACACATGTAACTATGATGGAGAAATGTAATAAGAATATATGTGTGTGTATCTATATAAATAAAAATGTAATGTTCATTTGTGGGATTAACATAACTCAAATACCACTGGATGAATTGACACTAAATTTGGACACAATACACCTATCAGGCCAACAAGTGACCATCACTCATAAAAACACTGAAAAACACAGCAGAAGAGACTAAAAAAGCAAAAAAAGAAAGAAAAGAAAAAAGAAAAATATATTACAACGCATGCATAAAACCACATATATACACATATATACACAGACTGGGCCACAGCAATGCGTTGCAGGGGACGGCTAGTATCTATATAAATAAAAATCTACTGTTCGTTTGTGGGATTAACATAACTCAAAAACTACTTGATGACTTGACACCAAATTTGGACACAAGACACCTATCAGGCTAACGAGTGACTGTTACTTATAAAACCATTGAAAAACACAGCGGAAAAGACTTAAAAAGCCAAAAAACATTACAATGCATGCGCAAAACCACATATACACAAATATATACACACATATACACACATACAAAACACATATACACAGACTGGGCCACAGCAACACATGACGGGGGATGGCTTGTGTGTGTGTATGAATATGTATGGATGTATGTGTGTGTGCGCGCGCGCGCGCGTGTGTGTGTATATATATATATATGGACTGTAAGCTTAAAAAGTGTACATGTTCATGATTTTGTAGCTTGTGGCAGCAATCGATGACTTGTTATGTACTAAGCTTGGATAATCACACACATTTGTTTCTGTCTTTTTGTACACATTGCAAATAAATTGAATGGGATAAATGTATGTTTGGATCTATTTTGAGTATGGAGATTAAGGAACCATTGTCCATAAAAAATTGAATAGTTGCAGACACTGAAGAAGAATTTATCTTATCAAATGAGAGTGGTGGAAAGCAGTTGTTGTAAAGATGTTCCATGTAAAACACGGATACTTCTATTATGCATTTTGGAGGGGAAAAGACAAATTCTGTCCATTTGTGCTAGTGGGTAGATAGTAGTATGTCATTGGAATTAAGCAATAGTGTTTCAAATTACTTTGTGTTCATTCAAAGAATAAGAACTACACATATGCCTTGTTTACCATCACAAAAATAATATATTTGAAAAACATTAACAGTATCATTTAAATTATTAAAATTGTCCCTTTTGTGGTAAATAATGTACATTTTAAAATAATTTCTAAACAGTTGTGTCACAAACTGAACTCTTCTGTGTTGGAAATTCTGGTAGCTATGTTTGCATGGCTAACAAACTTTTCACGGTGATAACTGTTATCTTTGACTGCAGATGCAGACTCCTCCCTCCCTGTACAAGATAAAACCAAACAGTCCAATTATGAATTGAAATAAGCTTGTATATTTGGAGCATATGGCTTGTTTGTGATGCTTTCAAATGTAATTTTGCTGTATGTGCAAATTTATGTTAGCATCAGTTAACAGAGTAGAGGTATTTCTAATGGGTGGACTTCTTTTGTAAGGAAAATGTGTGTCTTCAAAGCTTTCTCATTTAGAAAGCAGCTGGTTTGCTGCTGTTTGAGCACCACCCAAGTTTGGTATGACATCATTATGTAAAGTAGTACAAACGGACCAACTTTTTAAAGTCTCTTCAAGGAAGTTTGCACAACCACCTGGACTTGGCATTAGGTGCAGCTAAACTGAAGACTTAACTATTGAGAGACTCTATGTTGAAGCATGGATTTTTTCAAAAAAATTGTACCTTCAGTCATGTCGGGAGATGTGGTTCTGGATGTTGAAAGTACAATCTGTGAAAGCTCTCCAAAGCTACTGAAAATGAAGCGTATTAGTCTGCTTTCACCGGGACATACTATAGATGAAGATGACATTCATGTTGGGAATCCTAATCACAGTATGTATCTGTGTACTTAGTTTTTGAAACTTTTGAAGCAAGTATGTTTTTAAGTTGTAATAATATTTTGAATTTGAGGCTTTTTTTGTTGGACTGTGATACATGAGGACTCAGCAAACAATTTTCTGCTCTTCTAATGAAGTTTTTACCAGTTTACTATAAAATGAATTGATTTACTTAAATGTTTTCCAAAACATGAATGCATTTTATTATCAACTAGCCGTTCCCTGCCACACGTTGCTATGTCCCAGTCTGTATATATGTGTATATATGTGGTTTTGTGCATGTGTTTTTTGGTTTTTTAAGTCTTTTCCACTGTGTTTTTCAGTGTTTTTATGAGTGATTGTCACTTGTTGGCCTGATAGGTGTATCGTGTGCAAATTTGGTGGCAATCTGTCCAGTGGTTTTTGGGTTATGTTAATCCCACAAACGGACATTACATTTTAATTTATACAGATAACATTTGACAATCTTGTACCTGAGATAAAGGAGATATTTCTGAACCTTGTGAAGTAAATTTAAAAGGCATTTGAGTATTGTTAAGAAATTAATCAGAAGCAAATATAGATGAGTATACTACAGTGTAGCTAATACAGGTGTAAATATTATACAACTAATATAAACACTTGTGAAATTTAAATGTTATTAGTTAATTGTGTAGTCGCTGCATGGATTTTGTTTGGGTGAGCTTACTCTTAATAATTTCAATTAAATATAGTTCAGTATGTAAATACATTTTATCAATATATTTTAAAAACTGCATTGTGGTTATAGTATGCCTTTTGTAAACTGAAAGTTTAATTTTATTAGCAAACGGGACTGAACTCCAGTAGAAGCTCCTGCTGCAGAAAAGCATAGTGTAATTGCATTAATTCTCCCTCTGGGGTGTTCTGTATTGTTGCCAGGAGTCCTCCACTGCTCTAGAGCAGTATTTCTTAAATGGTGGGTCCCGACCCCAAATGGGGTCCTCTTAGGTCAATGTTGGAGTTACAAAAATCTGAAAACCACCTAGACATTTACACAAATCTGTTAGCAACACTGTGCAGTGTTTTCAGTAGACTGTGCAGAACATGCTACATTTGTACTTTATAAAAAAGAAAACTATCTTGTTTAGTAAACCTTGCAAATGCTGATTTATTATCACTAAACATTTGATTTTTATATCTATTTTACATACCTATATACCTATTTGGAATCATAAAAACCTGTCTGGTGCAAAGTTTAAGAAGCCCTGCTCTGGAGAAGCTTCAAGGGCTATCAGGAGGACAAATCTTTGAAAACTCTCTCTTCTCCCTCTCCAGTGGGAGATTCCCAAGAGCAGAGTTCTAGTCATTGAATTCCAGATTCAATCTGAAGTGTGTTCAACATTAAGATACCCTATTCCAATTTAGGTTTTCCCACCTGAATTTTATTTTGCCTTCTGTTTTGTACCCTAATTACAATATTTATTTATTTATTTATTTCGCGCACTTCTACCCCGCCCTTCTCAACCCCCGAGGGGGGACTCAGGGCGGCTTACAAAAGGCACAATTAGATGCCGACACAAACAATAAGATAAAAATAAAACATATATAAACAGTAATTAAAACAATTAAAACAGTCACTTATATACATCATAATCAATAAAACCAAACTAGTGCTCAACGTTTGCCAGCTCAGAGTCCGTAAATTCATTTCACATTGTCAAATCCATCCATTCTAGTCGTCGCTTATCCTTTGTCTATCTGCCAGATTATCCAAAAGTCTGGTCCCATATCCATGTTTTTAATTTCCTTCTAAAAGAGAGGAAGGATGTCGATGACCTAATTTCCCCGGGGAGTGAATTCCACAGGTGAGGGGCCACCACCGAGAAGGCCCTGCTCCTTGTCCCCACCAATTTCACTTGTGATATTCTGATTTTTATGCTTTATTTTTTTAATAATTGCTATCTCATCTGAGTCAATATTGCAAATATTTTTGTTTTCAAAGTTTTGGCTTCCCATCTTGATCTTCTTTAACACAGTATTCTGCTTTTTCTGTCTCTGTTGTTCTGAGTATGGGAGTTATTCCTCTGTTTAAAGTAATCCGTGTTTTTATCAGTCTACTGCCCATTAGCTATTTAAACCAGCTTCATATTTTGTAATGCTGGTGCACTTAATTTCTTCAAATTTTAGTGGGTGGAAATTTTCTGAGAATATAATCATTGAGAACTTTATGATATATTTATTTATTTATTTACTGTATTTATTGACCGCCGCTCTCAGCCCTAGGGCGACTCGCGGCGGTGCACAACATATAAAAACAGTTTACAAAAGGGCAAAACAGGAAATCAATACAACAATAATACACTATAATCTAGTTACACTAAATAATCCGCTCCGTCACATCATAGAATCATAACCAATATCGTAATCCGTATTCCGTTCCAGTTGTCAATTACCAGTTGCCGTAGCGCTCAGTTGAATTCCTTCTCAAATAGCCTAGAATCATAACCAATTTCGTAATCCGTATTCCGTTCCAGTTGTCAATTACCAGTTGCCGTAGCGCTCAGTTGAATGCCTTCTCAAATAGCCAGGTCTTCAGGCTCTTTCGGAAGGACAGAAGGGAAGGCGCCTGTCTGATGTCAGCAGGGAGGTCGTTCCACAGCCGGGGGGCCACCACCGAGAAGGCCCTTTCTCTCGTCCCCGCCAGACGTGCCTGTGAAGCAGGCGGGATCGAGAGAAGGGCCTCCCCAGACGATCTCAAGGTCCTCGTGGGCTCATAGGCCAAGATGCGGTCCGAAAGGTATTTTGGTATATATAGATATAGGTATATATAGATCTTTCTATAGAAAACATTTTATTCCATCATTTTAACTAAAGTCTTCTTGCTTGGATTGAAACAATAAAAGTTCTTCCTTTCTGAGTGCTTAACTTTC